AACCGAAGGGAAGAAGAGACCTTGGGAGATCTACAAGGAGGTGGAAGGATCAATAGATCCAAGTCTTTACTTCAGAATGGGGAAATCTGTACCTGAACCTTGGGAAGAAAGAAGAAGTGTCACCATGTGAATTTTATTATGGGTTGTCTGAAAGATTGATTCAACAGTGAGAAAAATGCAACAATTTTCAGCACGTTAGTTTTCAGTCACTGATCCATTTAAATAAAGGACTTGATTCAGTACAAAATAATACATTTTAAGTACCAGTACCATATTTTACAGGGTTTTATCAAAATGTCTGGTGAATAATACTACCACAACAGGATGCTTGTTCCACGTGGGCCATGTTATGTAAACCCTCACGCAGTGTTACTCTTAATCCAGACACTTCAATTTTATTGATGGGGATTTTCAAGTTATATTTTGTTACAAAATTAAGTCATTTATACAGACCTTATTTCCTGAGCATGTATATATGACATTATTATATATAAAAAAACAGTAGTGTTTAAGGGTTTGTTAACAACATACAGTAATTTGTTGTTTTAAATTCTGTCTGCCATATTTTGGTGACTTCATATATAAATTAAATGTGGGTAACAGTAGGCACCCTTAACCAGCACCTTGTGATGTTACTCTTAGACTGTACTTGCTCTATTCCAGTATTAATTTATATATTTGTATTTATAGACAAGCTCTGCAAGAGAGAACTGGAGGGACAGTACCTCCCTATTCTAGATGGTCACACTTCAACTTGCTTTAAAATAACAAGTCACATTTACAATGAACTTTGTGAGACTGAATATAACCCATACAGTACATTAATATAGTAATTATGGTACTGCCAGTGCACATTTATTTTTTAACTAAATAATAATCTAACTTGCTGACTATTTTGAAATGCAAAAGTAAAAGGACATCCAGAAACATTTACAACTGGGATTGTTTGGTTGTACAGGGTTAATTGAACATAATTGCCACAACAAGTTCTACATTATACAATAATGCAATCAATTGGTTGCTGTTTTAGTACAGGAGCCACGTTCTTCCCCTCAGCTGCGTCACTCACAATATCAGTAACATTCTTGAAATCAGGAAATGCCATCGTAGACAACTTGGAGTACACCAATGTCCCATTGACTGACACCTCAAATGACCCTAGAAACAAAAAAAAAATTGTTCTTCAACAGACAGAGTGAGCCGCTGACTTCACGTACCAAACGGATGAACAGGAAATTCCTTTTGGAAAATGAAGGTAGAAAATCTACACCAAAAAATATAAACACAGCTATCTTCACATTCACCGTTATAAGAACTTAAAAAGGTACTTCTTTCTTGTTAACGTTATCCAGTGATTACAGTAACACCGATTACGCCATCACGGGGACACAGATGAATATGAGTAATAGCGTTATCATATTTAAACCCCAAGACTTTCGTAGCCATAACATTGGTGTTACTGAGTGCAGGAAATTAAAAGCACAATTTTGGCTCCATTTAGAAGGTCCCGAGTTATTATACGATCTACGATTACCGATAGACGGTGGCACGGCCTCTTCGGCTGAAACGTCGACAGACTGGTGTTTTTAAGTCAGACTTATGCATAAAGTACCCTAAAGTACGGCTACCTTATATCAGATCACACGTCTTGTCAGAATTTAGCGATATATACCATTGTCAGCAACTGTTCACCTTGATGAAGAACGTCAAATCAAGAGCTATGATGTGTCATACTTATAAACTTCTGGAGTGGAGCATACGAACTGCAAGATATTGAAAGATTACTCAAGCAAAATCAGAGTAAAATATCATTAAATACTGATTTTGCCTGAAAAAAATAAGTAACAGGCCTATGTAAATCTGCAATAGTATGCCCAATTTCATAGAGGATTTAATAAATGACGTTTCAATACATTTCAACCCTGCTGGCCGAGAGTCTATACGAAAGGGTGAATGTTACCCCGGCTTGAAAACCCAAAATTATTATTTCAAAAAGCACGGAGCAGTTCAAAAAGTTGTGACAACTGCGACTGTAAATCGAATCCATTGACTTCGATATCACTGGTCTCGTTACATATCGCATTTGTATCAGTCAGTACTCCTTGGCGCCGAAAGTGTAAAGTGATAAATTTGCTGTCAAATATCTGTTACATTATACAAATCAGGGCACGATGCCCGCTTTACTCGATTTGTGTGAAAAATACTTTGGAAGCAGGGACTTATACGAAGTATTAAAGATTCCTAATTCAGCAAATGAGAAACAAGGTGAACGTTATTTCTTGAAATGTGCTCCCTAACCTCTTTTTTCAGTTTACAACTTTACATAACGTGCACGTGGCACAAATCAAGTCATGTACATTCTTAAAACGTAATTTCTACATATACTTCTTTTCCAGTTCGAAAGGCATATCACAAGCTGTCACTGTTGGTTCACCCTGACCGGGTAGAAGAAAAGGAGAAAGCAGAAGCTACAGAAAAATTCAAAGTGTTGGGGAAAATCCATTCTATTTTAAGTGACGAAGAGAAGAAGGCCATTTATGATGAATCTGGCAAGCATTTGCAATATTTAATATTATTTTTAATTCTGTTCACATTCGAGAATGCATTTTGCATCATGGTGTATATATCATTTTTTAGGTGATTTTGATGAAGAGAGTGATGAGATGGCAGAAAGGGATTGGGATGAATATTGGAGGATGCTGTTCAAACCCATTACTGTAAAAGATATTACTGATTATGAGAAGAAGTATAAAGGTAATGGACTGCTGTGAGTGGGCAGGCATCGTTTATACTTGGAAAAGTTTTTCTGATTGGTAGTTCCAAACTTTCTGCATGAAAAATGTCCATGTTCTTACAGTGTTGTATTGTCAGAATGGGCTGCTTATTTCAGGTTCAGAAGAAGAACTTGGTGATCTTAAGCGAGCTTATTTGGATGGAAAAGGAGATATGGATTTTATATTGGAGGCTGTACCATTTACTCATACAGATGAAGAATCAAGACTGAGAGAGCTCATACAAGGTCTGATTGACAAAGGAGATGTGCCAGAATACAAGGCCTTTACAGATGAGACACCCAGAAAGCGAGAACGGAGGAAAAGAAAGGTGATAGAATATGTCATGTACTCATGTTTATTTATATTATTATGGGGCATTCTACTTATTTGGCAATAGTTTTCAGGAAAACTGTAATTTTTGGGCTGGATTACTCACTACTGTTCTTTCTCTGCCCAGATACATAAAATCAGTTAGTAAGAAGTACATACTGCAATAATATTCACCGATTCAATATAGGACAGAAATTTTCAGTTACTGTAGCATTTATATCAGTGTTAGGCATGGTTTTATTTAATTAATTTGGCTTTACCACATAGTTTTCAGTGAATATCAGGTTTAATTAGTTCTGTTGACTATACTTTAGTTCAGATTTACATCATACAAGTAACATGACACAAGGTGAATTGATCAGTAACTGCACTATAATGTTGCATTTTATTTGCTTAAGAATGTACGAAAGAGAATTTAAAATCAAAATCCTGTTAATAAACAAGGTTAACTTTTTAGGCACTGTAACCTTCTACTGAGCAGGTTATCCACAAGTTTTTTTTTTTCATTCCTTAAAGGTGAATGTCAGTATAACATCTTAAAGTTGGCTGCAACTACTTTCTCTACGGTTCTTAGTTCAGCATGCATCATTGTGATTATTACTTTGATCATTCATTGCCTCAATAAATAGAATTTTATGAAAATTTTAAAATATACTATTTTAAAAAGTTTAGATAAAAGAGCTTCAGATAATACTAATTGTATATTATATATAGAATAATGCAACCCAAAGAATTACCAACTATAGCTTACATGACATACAGTCTTCACTCTTCAGGAATTGCCATGAGATAAAAATGTCTTAGTAAAAGTAAAGCTGTCCCACTATACGCCATGTAGGAGCTTGGGGGGGGTGTATTCATTCTTGACCTTGGTACTAGATGGGTGTGTGTGGTCAGTGTCATGCCTCAGCCGCCCTTTGCCCCTGGGAAAGGACCCTGGTACCCATTGGATAGGAGGCTGGGTGGGTCCCAGAACTGGTCTGGGCACAGAGGTTAGAGGAAAAGTTCTCCTCCCCAATTGGGGATCGAACCCCAGTTGTACAGTCCATAGCCAGTCACTCACAGGATGTAATACAAATACCCACAATTATGATAAAATAACTTAGTTTCTGAAGTGGGACTGTTAAACTTGACATTCTATGGTATTATGTAAGCTAGCACAGCATAAACTCGTCCTGCATTTAGGAGGCACCTAGTTTAAATAATGACCAGAGACCAGCTGGTCCCCATGATTTCTCCAAACAAAAAATTAATGCAGAATGGAAGACAATACCTTAACCAGGCCATTACTATTTACTTTTTCAGCCTACCATATAGTGTTGCTTCAGTTTACAACAGCATTGTATAATAACCAAAATTAACAAACAATCCATAGTATTATGATTAATTCTGAGTTCTTGCATTTGAAAATTTTGTAAAATGTTTGTGCAGTGGGAGAAAGAAGCCAAAGAGGCAGCCAAACTGAAGCAGGAAAAGGGTTTGGGTGATATGGATGATGACCTCAAGGTGCTGATCCAGAAGAAACAGCAGGAGCGCAATACTGAGATGAACACTTTCTTTGATATGTTGGCCAAGAAGTATGGCGGAAAGTCTACTGGGAAAAAGACCTCAAAGAAGAAGTAGTTAATAGCATTAATATAATTTGATCTTGAAATAATGTGTTTTTTGCATAATTTTCACAATGGAAAACATACCAAAGTAATGATATATGTAGCATGCATTTGGTTCATTTAACATGTGTCAGTTTTGTTATGACTTTCAGAAAATACACTCTCATGTGAGAATGTTATATCTATTTACTTTGCCTCATTTTCAGGAATATATGAGACCTGACAAATAACTGGATTGATTCTGTAAAAAGTTTACCCTTATAATGTGTGTTCACCTCAAAATAATTTTGAATTGTGTCTTCTGGTTTTTGTCTGTGTAGCCTCAACATTTCCATTGCTATTCAAAATCTAAAATCTCATGAACTGTATTTATTTGTGTATAACGAGCAGTTAGGGTGTTAAGGAGGATATTTGGGCCTAGGAGAGAAGACGATGGGGTCTGGAGAAAACTACATAATGACAAACTTAAAAATTTATACTCCTCCCCCAGTATTGTCAGGGTGATTAAGTCGAGAAGAATGAGATTGGCGGGGCATGTAACGCGCATGGATGGGACAAGAGATGTACACCAGGTATTGGTTGGGAAGCCTGAGGGGAAGAGACCGCTGGGGAGACCTAGACGTATATGGGAGGATAATGTCAAGTGGGATCTATGGGAGATAGGAGTTGAAGGAGACTGGATTTTGTTGGCCCAGGATAGGGTTCGGTGGAGGGCTTTGGTTAATTCGGTGATGAACCTTCGGGTTCGGTAAGCCATCTAGTTAGTTATTTATAACGTGCAGTTTGTTCGAAGTTAGGATGTGTGTAATACACGAAACATTTAATGTGGGAGAAAGTGGAATGTTTTTTCTTCATACAGCATGAAGTTATCAGTTACAATTTCAAAGCTTAATATTTACCTGCCAGTAATATGCAGTTTGATTTAAACTGCCATCAATCAACAATTTACTAACGTGTTTGTGTCATTCACTGTCACTACTGATAGTGTTGTCATCACATTACCATTACCCTTTTTTATTGTCAAGGTCGCTGATCATGAAATCTTAACTCCCATCCATTTCATTCAACATTCCAGTACTATGAAACTTTTCTCCACAATTTCTGGGAAAATGAAGTGCCATGCTGCAAGTACTCATTCACACACTGCTGGAAACAGTGTGCACTTCATTCTATCACCAGGCCTCAGTTCATGTTTCATGGTTGTTATCCACTTGTAAAGGTGTTGGAAAGTGAACTTGAATGGCTGATTAATGACAACATTCAAGGGTGGCAATAACTTGGTCATCCACTGGGGATAACAACAAGATTGGAATCCTTGTTCTTTTGCTTTCACACTTTCTGTCATATGTCCAAAGCCATACGTCTAAAACCAACATGGCATCCTTGCATAACAAAGTGCCCGGCAGCCTTTTCCACACAAGGTTTAACCTTTCCAGATGAACTCAGTCATCCACCCTTTTTCTTGAACCCTTATAATAATTCTTGGTGGAAATCAGTCTTTTGAGAGAGTTTTATTTTTGAAAATTACGAATGGTAGCAACCTGTGACCAGCATCATGGTGCATCACTCCTTATCTGCACCTGTTCGTTCAAATTTGAACTGACCTCTCATCAACAGGTTCAATAGCAGTCAAAGGCACTGGCTAACATATTTCTTTGTCTGTTTTTACTAAACAGGCAGCCTTCTTCTCCATCTATTGGCATCATACATGCTGAATTATGAATTACCTATCGGGGAGATGCTGGAATGCTATGGTTTCATAAAATAGCATTTCTTGTAACAATTCATGAAGTCTGGTGGTGATAGGACCAAAATCTGTGTTTGTGTATCTTAGTGGAAATATGTGACTGTTTTCTCTTCAGTGATATTCTAAACCCACTATTCCCCACTCACCACACTGAAACATTGGATATTATAATGCCTCTAAGTTTCCTTTCATATTTAATAGTATTACTTAAATATTAGTAATATAAGTTGCATTAATAACATTATGGGACAGTGGTGGATGAACTGCACCCTGTCAATTAAATTAATATAAAATTTAGTAGGAAGACAGTAACCTTGTTAGGCAATTCCAGTGGACCTCCTCCATAACAAATGTCATCATACTATTCAAAATGTATAAAAGTCTTGCAAAAGCTCTCCATCTTACCTCTCCGTCCCTCTTTGCCCGAAACAGCAGCTGTAGGTACACTAGAGCGTATTTGGGTTGCTAGTTCCTCAAAATTAGAACTGTAGCCACAAGAACCACTGTAAAATAATTCATAATAAAAGTATAACAGAATGGATAGTGTGGCTTATCACTCGTTCTGGCTGTTTTCTGTGACCGGATAGCAGTGTTGCTACCACACATATTTAGTTCCCATTATAGAAAATACTTATGGTATTGTAATAGTAGATAGCTCTGTTTTCTAAATAATTCAGTCATGGAGGAATTATGCTATTTACCTTCTCTTTTTGAAGAGGACATTTCATTGCACACAAAAATGACAAAAAATCTAGCACCCTTTCCATGATCTCATTTTTTTCCCCAACATAATAATTAAACTAAACTTATTCGGCTAATGCATAGATTTGGGTGGAAAGGCATGTTTGGAGTAATGTGCTTATAAACGTTTCTCTCGTCACAATCTTTGTGCATACTCCCTACGCACAAGGAGCAACACGATGCAATTTGTCCCTAATGTAATGTACTTTCTTACATTAACCCTGTTCAATGCCATTTCCTTCAATTGCTGTATGTAAGGTATTTTTACAGGAATTTTATTTATTCTTACATCTAGCACCAAAGAGTCATGTTGCATTTTTTGTGCATTTCGTATCCGTGATTCTGTTCAACTATCAAGACACCGTAGATAGAACATGTTTTAGAATGATATGGCGTGAATACTACACACATACTCCAAGTAACTTACCAGTATTCGACTTCTACTTTCACATCCATTAGTGGTAATTAAAGAAATTAGACTAGAATCCTGCAAAATCTCTGAAATGACAATTTGACGGTCACAATGAACACGCTCTAGAGACCAATTTAAAATCTCTGGCGCGTTCGCTTGTTTTTAGAAGGGGGCGTTGACACTGCCTACAGGTACGTGTGTATTTCGTGTTAATTTTAATTGACATGGCAGTGCGGAAAAAAATGTGGAGTAGATTACGATTTGGCTTACAAGAGCAGTCATACATGTATCTGAAATAAAACGAGTAATGAGGAGAATGTTTCGCCAACATGTCTGTGCTGCCAACGTAGCAAAATAAATTGTAGGTTAACTTGGTATTTAGTAGAACAAAATTACTTATGAACTGTTTGTTTTGGAATGTTTGTTATAAGAAACAAATGCAATAGGCGGCTCATTCTGCAGAGAGCTATTTCAGAAATTGATTATATCCCCCCTTGTGAGTGAAACCATACTGTCATTATTGTCTATTTTTGAGGATAACCTGGTGAAGTTCCAACAAACTCTGATGTATGTAGCACAAATCCAAGGCATAAGCATGGTCTCCCATCAGCTGAGCATAAACCTCATTAATATGCAGGGATCAAATTAATAAGTACTCTTTCAGACAACATTATATAACACAAAAATTCTAATAATGTATAAAGTATTGTGAAGTATTGTGTAGTTTGTTACATGATGTAACCTTTGGAAGTGGGGCAACCAACTTCCAAAGGAGATACACAGAGTATTCAGTTTTTAAAGAATGGTTGGTCATAAAACTTTCCAAATTCTCAATCACTCAATGAACCCTGCTATGGCTAACAAATAAATTTAGTTATGAACATTCCATGTTTTATACACAGCATTTGTAAACTGGCAGAAAGAATTTATTAAAATTCAAGGTGTTAAGAAAATAGAATCATGTAAAGAATTGTTTAAGAATATTTATACACTACCTGTTGCCAGTAAGTAATTGTCATATAAACTCAGAGGTGTGTGGAGTCAAGATGAACTACAAACATGATCTTCATAGATCATTGCCAATCTTATAGCATATTTTAAGGAGTCTTAGTATGCTGGAATTAAAGTATTTAATAATCCCCCCCCCCCCATCATTGTTAAATGTTATCCACTAGAAGTAAACAGTTTAAAATAACATTGAAAGAACTCATTTTAACTTGTACCCTCTGCTCCATACATTAATTATATTACTAAGAAATGATTGACTGGCTAAGTCTGTGCTTAAGTGTGAAGACTGCGCAAATGCATATGATTCTCTCTACAGGATGTCCCATGAAATGTCTGCCAACCTTCAGGCGGTTATTCATTGACTTATTCTGAGTGGAAAATGTCTTGTCAGCATGGGCCAGAATCAAAACCATTATGTAGTTGAGTCATTCCATATCAAATAACCAGTCTTCAGAAATTTTATAGTTGCATGATTTTTATTTTGATGAGTTTTTTTTCTCCATGTCACAGTACTGTATAAATTAACTTTTAAAACAAGAATGGAGAATTGTACCTTTGACCTCTGCAAAGTCAGAGGTCGCTAGATAAGCTGAAATCAGTGAATATAAGTGTTTTCCTTAATTAACACAACTTTAGTTTGTACACAGGAACTAATGTACTCTGAACTACAAAAGAAAGTGAATTGTGTTTTTAGACACTTAGTAGAAGATTACTGGGAAAGAAATTCAACTTTGTACGTCCTTCCGTTTTGAAAACAGTAATATTGGCAAATATTCTGTTCAGAAATCTTTTAGTTTATAAAATGGTATCACATCATAACCTGAATTTTCTAGTATAAAAATATGTTGTAGTCAGAAAATTTGTTTCAGAGTATGAATTAAAGTTGTGTTAATTAATGGACACCCTTATATTTGCTCTCATAGATTTAAATAATTTGTTGGAAGCAGCTCATTGTTAATTCAGAACTATGGCAGTTCATGAATGCTCATTTAAAGATAAATGTATCAAATGCTTTAAAAGGATGGTGTAGGACACAAGGACATAAGAATAATGGGGATGTGTTAATTAGGTAGCTATGTGATGGTTAAGATGCCAACCCATCTGTGGTGTGTTATGTTGATTTAAAGTGAATGGACTGTGAACTGAGTGTGTGAAAGTGATGGACAAGAATAAACAAGTTTCAACCCACACTGATACAAATTGTTTCACTCAAAAAAACAGAAAAAAATTAATAACAACCTGAAGTTCAGCAGACATTTTGTGGGATGCTTTCAACCAAATTTGATATTATTATGTATAGATGTTGATACTGGTACTATTTTAATAACAAAAATATGCTGAATGTGTGTCTGTCTGTCTGCCTGCCCATGTTTCTGTTTGTCTTTCCGTCCATCCATCCACCCACTTGTTTAATATTGTTTATTTGTTATTGAATAGCTTAATTCATCATTATTATAATTCTCTGTTTTTTATCAAGAGTAGGGTTTTTATACAACTATTGCTGTATTATTTGCTACTTAATTGTTTTTCCCTATTTTCATATAGATCTGCAGATTGTGTATCTACAATGGATTATGATTACTTAATTAAATTTCTGGCTTTGGGTGATTCTGGAGTAGGAAAGACAAGCTTCCTTTATCAGTATACAGATGGAACCTTCAATAATCGTTTCATCTCAACTGTTGGCATAGACTTCCGAGAAAAGAGACTCGTAAGTTAATGTTTGGATTATTCTTTTGTCACTTTCAGCTCTCACTGTTTGCAATCCACAGTGGTGTGATGTGAGCAGAATTCCATATCGTTGAAGATTTACTGTTTATTTTTTACTGTCAGAAAACTGGTCAATATGATCTAAAAATTACTTGAGTGACAGAATGTGCCAGTCTGATACCAATGTGAAGGAAATCTGGAGTTTGCCTATTTTATTATTTAGAACCTTGTCATTCTAAGCCTGCAATTTGTTGTAAAGTACAAACTATGATGCTCCTCAGTATGAAATTTTCACCAGCCTTCTGTTGCTTTATCACTCTAAATATTCTCCTAAGCACCCTGTTCTTAAACATCTTTAATCTGTACTCTTTACTTACTGTGAGAGACCATATTTGATACCTATATAAAGAACAAATAAAATTATAATTTGATATATTTTAATCTTTGTGTTCTTAGATGGCAGATGGGAAGACAAATGTTTCTGAACTGCACGGTAGCAAGCATTCTTCAAGTTTAATCTGCTCTTAACTTCCTCATGAATAACATTTTGATTTATTAATGTCTTGAATATGTACTTAGTTTTTTCTGTGTTTGCTTCTACACCATTATCCTTACTAAAATCTGTAGAGCTTCTAATATTTGAGACATTTAAATTTTCACCTAATAAATTTACTTTATTGACATAGACCACAAACTGATTGCCCCATTCATTTTCAGTCCCTCTTTCTCTTCTTAGACCATGCTGATGGCATATTCTAAATCAAAGTTGAAGAGCAATGGTCATAAAGCATCTCCTTGTTTCAGACCATTCTGAATAGGATCAGTAAAAGTAAAGTAAAGGTTTCCCATGATATGCCTGGGGGAAGTGGAGGTATAGCTCCTACTCATTCTTGACCTCGGCACTAGATGGGGGTAAATGGTCAGCATCACACCCCGGCCGCACTGTACTCCCGAGAAAGGACCCCAGTACCCATTGGATAGGAGACTGGGTGGGCCCCAGAGCCGGTCTGGACGCAGAAGCTAGAGGAAAAATCCTCTGCCCCGGTCAGGGATCGAACCCCGGTCGTCTAGTCTGTAGCCAGTCACTGTACTGACTGAGCTACACTGACCATGTGGATCAGACAAATATTTACCAAAACGTGTTTTACTGTATGTCTCACTTAAACACGTTTTAATTAGCCTGACTAGTTTTATTGGTATACTGAATTTAATGAGTGTGTTGTATAGTATGTACTTCCCTTCTAAATGAAACACAGACTTCCTTGAAGTCTGTAAATACATGATCTACAGTTCTATCGTATTTCCATTTTGTCTCTGGTGTCTCAGGAATGCAGATCAAAATTTTGGTGGAGAAATGTTTTTTAAAAGAGCCAGTTGGAAAACTGAGAAAATGGAAGAGTAACATTAAGAATAAAATTATGAAAGTAGTGGAGGTGAATGGAACTGTCTCAGGATCATATCCATTGAAAGGATTTGGTACTGTCAGTGTTGAACCTTTATGTTTTTATTGTTAATTAGCAATGTTACTAAAGTGTATTTATCTGATGTGAGAAATGGCTGTATTTGATGTTGCAGGTGTATCGGTCTCAGGGCTGTAGCCAGAGGGTACATTTGCAGCTGTGGGATACAGCTGGTCAGGAGAGGTGAGCTTTTGCTATGAAGTTGCAGGGTAACTTTGTGGTAAAATAAACACATTTTACAATAATAATGGAACAGTGTAATGGCTATATGTGACAGTTGGCAGTAACTATTATGAAGTAATGGGACCATAATGAAGTATTTATTACCTGTTTAAAGGTTTTTTTATTACCACTTTCTTGGAGTGACATGGTAAGTGGCATAATGTTGTTATAATAGTTGTAGAAGTAAAGTTGTCATTATGCTTAATTAAGCTTCACATCAGAAAGACATATTAGGTTTAGAAGTATAGTTCCAGATGGAGGTGAGTTGTCAGCTTTGCACACTGCCTGTTTTACTGATTAAGCCACTGCGTTGTTATAGACATTGTAGGTGTGGATTCAGAGCCTGAAGCTAACGTTCATGATAATATACTGAGAGTTTCAGAAGCCACCATCCCTGTTATTGTTTTTAAGCAATTTTTTAACCTTTCAGCCAAATTACTGGGGTTTAATTTCTAGTTGTTACATGTGAAGTTTGTGATGTGTAAATCAGTCCTGTTATTTAAGTTCATTAACGATTTTATTCTGCTGTCCCCTACCCATAATGATGAGCATTACTGACACTGAATTATCAGTTAAGTGTACATACTTTTTTAGAGGCATTTTTATAATGTGGCATAATGCGATTAATCACCTTTTTTCCTCCACTGCACTTTTGCCTTCTTCATGAAGCTGATTACTGTATTCAGCATTTTACCTTATTCATATGTATTGAATAAGGTAAAAAAACGATTGTGGAGTTTCTTTTGTTAAGTGTTCTTCCTTCATTCATACATTTAATTTGTACATTTCCAGGTATTTTCTTTTAAAAATTAAGTTAACAGGTTTGAAATTTGTTACCTGAGATTTATATAAACTTTATGCACATAATTAATAGCACTGATAAGTAGGGGAGGAGGCTAGGGCTCGATAGTAGATAAGTAGGGATTCATTAATACATTTACTATTCTTCCTGAAAGGTAGGCAGCAGTAATTAACAGTTTGTATGTTGAATGCGAAGTAAGGTTCTATGTGTTTCTTTTATGTTGTCACAATTTAACACAAAAGTTTGTGTACATATAAGACATGCAACTGCTGACAACTTTGGGTCAGTTTTAGTGTATGCGCTTTGCACAGAAAAATATTTTTGAAATAAAAAGTCTCTCCCAGGGTGTATGTTATTGATAATGTACAATATTCAGTTTCAGATGAAACATTGTTTTAATTGTCATACATATTATTGTCAGTTCTTGCTGACCAGTTTTAATGGGTCTGAATCGAAGGAACTTTTTTCTCATTCTCTTTAGATGAATGCTTTGCAAGAACTTTGCAGAAAATCAAGCACTGAGAAAGTTGCTATTAGGTATTCATTATTTTAGCAGTGTATTTTTCTCTAATTTTGTTAGAAATAAGTCACTAGAAATATGTTACACTCAAGGTGCCCAACTCAATGAGTGGATTTACTTGATATTAAAATTTGAGGGTCAGTTAAATGAAAATATTAAAAGGGGGGGGGGGGGGGGATCCTACTGCATGCAGCTGTACCAAGGGTTAGAGGCACCGAATGTGCATGGTCGATCTGGCAACACGGGCTGCATGACGTCAGCAGAGCAATGCAAAAATGGTTGCTCCCTTGGAAGCTTTGTGGACTGCTCAATATTAGTGTCTTGCTGCAGCATGACAATGCCCGTGTGGCCATCAAGGACATGTGTTTTGATTGCCTCCCTCATCCTCCATACTAGCCTGACTTCGCCCCTTTCAAGTACTATCTTTGGACCACTCAAGGAGGCGACTGGTGGAGACTTTGTACCCTGGTGAAGAAGCATAAGGCAGTTTATGAGAGGCTGTGCACATGGCCAAAGGGGTTTTTCTTTCAGTTATAATTCAGTCATTAATGAAGTGCTGGAGGGCATGTATTGAATGTAGTGGGCTATACTGAAAAATGACAAGGTGGTGCCAAACCTATCTGCAGTACACAAGCTGTGATAAAAGGTTTTCATTTGATGTGATTATGATCTCAGGAATTCAAGTATGTTTGGCAGAATTTTCTCAGTGGGAGGTAAAAGATTCCACACAGGGAATATTTATGGTGAAGCTTTAGAAGAATGCATGGAAGGTTACTTCTGGGTTGATCATTGGTGTAGCCACTTTGATAATGAAGCAGGAACACATTGGTTTGTTTATGGAGATTTATTGAAATAAAGATTGTATAGTAAAGTTATCAATCCAGTATCACAGACACTGCCATGACCAGAGATGAGTATTGAATCTTTGAGCCAGTTAGCAATGGACTGTTCATGTTGTATTAACATTTATTGATGATTAATACTGATAAGAAATTTTATAATTTTTAACTTAGTTGAGGAGAAATAGGTATAATTTAGATTGAAGTTACAAAACAATATCAGGTAGGCTGTGTCTCTCACAAATTTCTAATTGGCGAGCACAAACTCCTTGTTCAAAATGTAGCCACAAAGTGAGAAGTTTACCCAAACTTTATCATGTTAAAGATTCAACTTTGTATCTGCTCCAGCCTGCCAATTGGCCATTCTCAATTCACTACTGTGACGTACATGGCCAGCAGGCTTTCGTAAGTTAGTTTGAGTCCCATTGGTTAGTTCTCATGATGCCTTCTGGAATTTTCAATACCAGATTCTTGCACATGGGAACCATAAACAGTATACAGTAAACAAGTAATCTGTGATGTTCCAGAATCCCATTTATGTCCCTTTTTGTTAACCATTAGGAGGGTCAAAGCTGAACACTTTACCACTGGAAGTTACAATCTACTTCCCCTAACAGATAACAAACCATTCCACATACTGGTATTTTTATTTTTATTTAGTGTTCTGTCTGACAACAAGTCCATATGAACAGGATCCTTCCATCCTTTTCTCGGACTGGGACCTGTTCATATACGTTCTTGGCCGTAATTGCAGTCCCTATATATTATAAACCATTATTTATATTATATATTATAAAACAATAATGACTGTCAAACTGTCCGGTTTGATGTCACATTTTAGGGAAGCTAGCCCAGGAATTTAACCTGGACTGTGCAGCTACATTACACTCATTCTTATGACTAATGAAGTTGCACATTTGACATCTAGTGGTGAGAAGCAAAATACAGCTGTTATGTCTTAACAAAATATTTGGCTAATTAATATTAGGTGAAGATTTATTAAAGTGTTTGTTTCTGTGTGTGTGTGCAGTTCCTGTGATGGTTTATTCTTGATCCTTTACACATATTTGTTGAGATATTTTCAGTTTGTGTCATCAAAACACATGGTAGTTTGGTTTAGAAAGGTTTGCTGCACTGCATCATTACTGCACAGTAGTTGCTATTGGAAGGGTATTATTTGGTTCAGAAACTTGCATGTGGAATGACAACAGGGAATACGGTTAACGACAGAGAATTTAATTGATCATGAAACTTGAATTTATAATATACTTCCTACATTTTAAGTGCTTGAATGGATCACTTGGAAAAGTCACAGTTATTTGTAATGCAATAAAAGTTTAATATAAGGAACATGTTACTCACTGTAGAAAGGCTTTCAGAGAGATGCATGAGAAGAACATAAGTTTCACACAGTCACATCGGCTGCAAGCAGCATAAACATCTTTTTATTGATTCACTGTCATCAGGAGCCATACTGATGGAAGTGTTTTGTTGC